TCTGATGGTGATTCAGTCCCCGTCAGGTTCTCCCGACTCTTTAGGCCCACTCCCTAGAGTCGCTTCCCTTAGATAGTAAGTCCCCCCTCTTAGGAGTAGGAGTAGACTAGATTATGCTAGATGCGTCGCCGTGCAAAAAAAAAAATAATAATAATGACTACGGAACTAAGGAATTTGATGATTTTTGAATGAGAATTATGTGGTCCACCCTCTAAAGGTGGAGGACAAATGTAGGGAAGGTCGGGGCCAGTCTCTCGTCTTTTAGCATTTGGGTGATACTTCGGATTTGTACACAGCTGTCAATGCCTTCATTTGATTTGACTTATCGGGCCATATAATGGAAAAAATTTATAATTTAAAAATTACAGCTAGCCGCATATCTTGTAACCAATTAATTGGATTATGTTGGTCCGTGGATCTTCCTTAGATTGGTTTTTGGACCGTTTTCTTGTTAATTACTTGTGCGTGTGTATTTATTAATTTGTGTGTGTGTTATTTGTCATTAGGGAAAAAAAAGTATATATATATAGATTGTTTAATGGGTAATTAATGATTTGAAATTCTCTAAAGAGCGTTAATAGCTATTTAAACAACTATGAACTTTAGTTACCTCCCTAATGTAATTTTTTCCGACAAACGATAGTACAAGGGAATAATTTAACTATAACTCAACGCACGTTAAAGAGAGTCTCACTCAACCTAAAGAGGATCCACAAGACTTATCCATCCAGACAATTGTTACCTCCATAACGTAATTGGCTCATAAGAAATACAACGGTGGACATCATCAGTTATCGTTTGAAGGACACTTGAGAAGCTGTAGAAAATATTACTGAAATCGAAGATGCAAATTGTTACGTTCCAGAAAGAAAATAATCACTTGGATTTTTTAACTTTAAGTGCGAAGTTTCAAACACCTCATTTATTTTCTTAGATAAAATAAAAGTTAATAAGTATTATTAATAAATTAATTAAAAATCATTCAACATGATTCGCTTGACAAAAGAAAAAAGCTTTCATAAATGGTAGAAAATATATAAAACATGTCACAGCTATATCTAATATAAAAAAATCATTAGATGCAACAATGTTAATAAATAAAAAAGGCTATAATGTGAATCACAAATAGGGTTGCAAACGAGTCGAGTCGAGTCGAAATTTGGGCTAATCGAGCCGAGTCTCGACTAAATTTTACCAAACTCAAGTTCGAGCTCGACGAATTGGCAATTTAAAGCTCGAGATCGAAAAAAATAAAAAATTATTTTATTTTTTAAAAAATAATTAAAATAATTTTTTCTTAATAAATAATAAAATATTAAGGATATATATGTAATTTTACTATTAAAATAAGAAAATAAAAAATATATATATATACTTAAAATAAAAAATATATATGTACTTAAAATAAACAAATATTATATATATATAAACTTAATATTTTGAACTCGAGTTCGAGCTCGAACTCGAGCTTGACTCGAACCACTCGCGAGCGGCTCGATTCGTTTGCAACCCTAATCACAAACTATCAGTTCTAACTAATTTGCACGAACTGCTCCATAAATATCTATTTTTTTTTATATCTAATATCCAACCAATTTAAATTCAAAACTGATATTGAAACTTGACGTTCCAAATCAAACGCATAAATCTAAAACAAAAATTCTTAGATATAGGTAAAAAAATAATAAAACATCTACTGGAATACTTTAGGAGACAACAAACTCTTACTAATAAGTGCTGAGAGAGAGAAAACCCTTGTTAAAATACTCTAGGAGAAATTTTAGTAAATATAAAACAAAATACAAAGAGTGTGTTTGGATTGTAAGTTATTTGTCCAAATATATTTGCTTACATCACCATTACAATTTTCAATACACTTTTTTATCTTTTCAATTATCTTTTTATCTCACATACATCACATCACAAAAAGTGTTACAGTAAAAATATCTCAAATAACTTACAATCCATACACACTAGAGAAAAGGAGATCTTGACAATGAAGAGAAGATAGAGAACATGAGTGGACGGGAAGGGAAGGGAATGGATTTTCAAACACCTAATTTATAATTTAAAGAGAATTTAAATCTCTTTTCATCAACCAACTTACCAAAGGCAAATTGGTCGTTCAAGATGCAATATACTGACACAGCACAGTCAAAGTCCCAGTAATTTGCAACTTCTCATTTCAAATTTCTGTCCTACTTTTTGGCCACCAAGCCACAGCTTGTTGCTACTTCACAGCTCTTTTCTCCACATGTTTAGGTCATGGAAATGGGATGTAGGACATTATGATTTGTGAGCATATTTGAAATCCTTGAACCTTGTATAGTAAATCTGCTTATGAATATCTTACATTGGTTGGATCAAATCATTGAACACAAATCAAATCATTTGTTATGTCTCGCGATAGGAACCATCACCTATGTCATGTCTCCCAAATTAGTCAATTACCCAATCGCAAAAGCTGAAATATAGAAGTCCATTATTGAGCCGGGTCACACCATGTTCTGATCTGCTATTCAACCTAATGTGGATGACAAATTTAAGCCCATCAGTCAAATCATGGATCTGGTTACGTGCAAACCAACATGTTCCCAGTGCTTGGTTTGTTTGGACAGAGTATTATTTGAAATAATTATCGTAACATCTTTTATGATGTGATGTATATGAGATAGATAGGTGATTGAAAAATATGTTTATGATGTAAGCGAAATATTATTTGACTATCAAAACAAAATGAACCCAGGAACTGGAACCTTGGGACATTTAGCCCATTTCAGTCCATAAATCGGTAATAATATATTAGGAGAGTTTTGACATTCTTTACTTTAAAATTTTTTTCTTTTATTTCCTAGTAAGGAACTTTAGAATATATAAGAAGCAGGGAGTAGAAGGAAGGAAGGAAGATAGAAACTCAAACCCTAAAAATCCTGAGATCTCAACTCTGATGGCATTCTTTTCTTTATCTACGTCCATGTGTATATATCTATTAAAAATATATAGGGATTTAAGGTTTGCGTCACATTTAGCATAAATGTCCATTTTCTAGCAAAACAAAACTTAAAATCAACCATATTTTCTTATGTTCCCATTTTTTTAGCGGTTTAAACTTCTACATGTTTATCCAAAATTTTACCACATTTATCGATACACTGGCTACTATTATTTTTTCTTTCCTTTCTTCTTCTTTCTCCTACTTTTCAAATAACCTCATCATATACAATTAAAAATTTTCCCTTTTAATATTTCAATCTATGAAGAAACATACTTTTACACATATTATTAATTGTACTGGCTGCCACATATACCCGGTGTGCCTTAATCACTAACAATTACTATTGTTTTTATTACCCTTCTGCCTTTTTTTCGTAATATGCTAATCAATTTTTTTTTTTTTGGGTCAAAGTAATATGTTAATCACTTGGGGTATTGAGTTTTGTCAAAATAAAAGAAAAAGGAAAAGAAATTTTTTGGCCGCTGACTACGACTACTGAGTCTACTGCGGAGTCTTCTGGCATTCAATGGGCAACGGTCATATTTCTTTTCAAAATCTAGTCAAAAGCCTCCGACTTCAAGCATCCGCCACCAATCTCCCCATCTTCCTCTCCTTATCCAGCCAGCCAGCCAGCATCATCAAAACTCATAACCAACTCGACTGTGTTTCTCTTTCCTTCGTCCTCCTTTCCTCTCTCTCTCTCTCGACCTTTGAACTAGATCATGACTACCATATTAGTACCTGAGTGAAGACCAGCCGCCATCCTTTTAAGGAAAGTAGCCTAGCTAGCTACTCGATTATGGGGTGCTTTTTTGCTTGCTTTGGCTCCTCCAAAAAGCACCACAAAACCAAAAAGCCCGAAAGTTTAACTTCCCCTAAAAATCAGGTAAACTGAAAGCCATGTTTAATAATTAGTAGTAATAATGACTGCTTTTTCAGCTGTTAACATTTGAGAGTTCGTTGGTTTTCTTTAATGATGATCTTGATTCGTGGTGGGAGACTCTTTCTTGCAGAATTTAAATGAAAGCCATGAAGTAAATGAAGCTCTAATATGCAGCAATCAAGCAGATGAAGAAGGAGCCGAGATTGCAGATCCATTGAAGTCATTCCAGAAATTAAGTAAGCTCTCACTTCTTTAACATCTTTGTTTATGGTCTTTTACTTCATCCCTTTTAAATGTAGAAAAATTAGTGGCTGGTGCATGTTTGTCAATTCTTTATATAAAACTGCTTAAATATTTCAGGATATTTCTTACATTTTGTTCTTCTGTTTTTTTTAGAGGTAAAAATGAGGAGCAGGTGAGTACAAGTTTCGGAAAGAAAGTCACATTTGATTTACTTTTGAAAGCTCCTGAGGAATGCCAAGCCAAGAAGGCGCGCTAGAAAATGATCAGAAACGAAAGAAGAGGGATGAAAGCAGACCTGAGGTCATCTAGATTTTCCTAGTTCCAGTGAGAAGAAGGAAGGCAAAGCAAAGAAAGAAGAGAGCAAAGACGAGGCCGATTTACTTTCCGATTCAACTATTTCAAGCCTTTTCACATATCCTCCAAACCATAGGTACCAGAACTGTGAATCTAGTGATGATGAGTGTGTTGATATGGGTTTGAAAAAGAACAATCCAGAGGACGAGGAGCATGATGGGAAGAGTGATGACAACATGGATGGCAATTACGAGGAGAAAAATGGTTCTGAAGATTCAGTTGATATCCAAGAAGAGTCATCTGAATTATTCTCTATATCTATCGAGTCTAGAAAACAAAGTTCTGCAGTTGAAAGAGATGAGAAAGAGGTCAGCAGTCCGCTTAAACCAGCTTCAGACAGAGAGGTAAACAGGCCGAATGCTAGAGATAGGACTCAATATGTTCATCCTGTGCTGAACCCAATAGAGAACCTTGGGCAATGGAAAGCCGTGAGAGCCAAAAACCACCTCATCCCTGGAGCATCAGGAAAAGGAAAATCTCAATTTGGTGCAGGAATTCACGATCCCTTGCGCTGAAAAAAAATTCTTCGTTGACTTCTAAAAATCCTATACCTTTTAGTGAAGAACCTAACCCGAATCAATCACAACAGCAGCGGTCAAAGAGATTTTCCAACCGACTTAGGCACGATGAAGTTGCAGTTGATACTAGCCTTTCAAGCTGGTTAATGGAATCTGATAAGACTCCGCCTGATGGGAATAGTCCAGGTTCTGTTGGGAACTCAGCCCCAAAGAAAACCGAGTCTCCAACAAGCTTTGAGGATAGGCCAATTTTGGGAGTATTGACAGTAGAAGACTTGAAACAGATGTCTAAATCTGCGACTCCATCTCCTAGACGATCACCAAGGCACAGTCCAGATGAGATGCCTATAATAGGTACAGTAGGGAGTTACTGGAGGCACACAAGAGAAGCCAGAGCTGCTGACACTCGTTCACCTGGCAAAGGAACGTCAGTCACATCCTGCACGACATCAAGAGAGTGCAGAAAGGTATCGAGCGTATTTCAGTTGTCCAATTGGAACTTGAATAGTAGATTTCATGTGCTGATATATGATCCGCGCTTTGCAGGGCGGAATGAACGGCCACCATACACCATTTCAGGCCAGGTTAGAGAGAACGCTGGACGGTGCTACGGTCCAAGTTTAGCATATCTACTAACCGGAGTCTAACCAGTTCTGTTCGTTCTATTTGCTGCAATTTCGAAGTGTGAAGTCCAATGTTACGGTGAGAGTGTCAAATTCTTCAATTAAGAAGAGGATGAGAGTCGCTTGGATTAGATGCTTCAAATATCATGTTTTGCAGTTTTGCAATGAGCGACCAACCAGATCATATCATAATTATCAGCGCAACATCAAGCTGTATCTATCAAAATACTTTGAATGGCCATTTTTCCACCGAAAATTTAAATTTTCCATGAACACACGTCTCAATAACATTTTTACGTCACACCGTCACACATATCAAATCAATATAACACATTTTTCTACAAAACCTTTAGAAAATATTAACTGTCTCTTTGATCCAATAGTGCACAAAAAAAAAAAAAAAAAAATCGAATCTGCTGTGCTATATACAATTCGCCACGTCCTTGAGCTGCACCCCAAATGCCATATTATGCTTAGACACACACATTGAGGCATTAACAACAAAGTTCTTTACAGGTTTGGAGCATGTTAAACCATTAAAGTGAACCTTGGAAACCCGAGAACCAGGCAAAGCCCTCAAATATTAGGACCAAGCCTAGCAGCCCAGCCCATCAGCTGAAAATGGCAAATCTCATGTAACTGAACTGAGGTAACAGGCCAACTGCTAGTATAATTAAACAAAAGAATTAAGCTGCAGAAATTGATTTCTGGCTACAGATGTACAATTTACTGTTTAAGTTTAGTGTAGACTATATAGCAAGATGATAAAGGCTTCCTGAAATGCGGCATAATAGGAAGCATCACTCGGTACTTGGAGAATACAGTACAGAACTGCTACAAGCCTACCATGCACAGATTTTTGGGCACGAAGATATTAGACTCTACTTCATGTACTACATCTGAAGGTTGGGTCCAAATACCCCTATAAAAAGATATCCTACGTATCATGAAAAAGCCGCCGAATTTGCTCCACTGTCGCAGGCATCAAGGTGACTGGGCAGCGCTTGTACTGTATTTGCACGAAGTGAAGAATGCAGGTATTAATGTGATAATTCTATTCAACATTTAATGAACATGTTCTGCAAGTTTACCATGATCAATAAACAGGTATGGAGAAACAAACCTGAGAGACGTATTTAAATATGCAAGAATAACAAAAGACAAATCCTGAAACAGCCACAGCTGATGGATTTACACGCTTTTGTGAACACAAAGGGCATAACGTTCTATCTGGAGGTAGTGGAATTCCCTCCTTTGCAACCTGTTTCAAAATGAAGCAATAATCTGTGTGTGAATATCAAATTTCTCAAGAAACACAATGTGCATAAAGTCCTTCATACTTTTTCATTCTTGTCCTTTTCTTTCATTTTTTTTCAATTTGTGTAAGAAACCTTATCATTATAGCATTTCTGCACCTATGATTGTTATTTTTTTTTCATTTATTACCATCAATGGTGCCCCCATGCAAAAATTTCCCAAGACTTGGCAATGCGTGAGCCACACGTGTCAGATAGGAATAACTTCACTATGGGAACTATTCATATGAAACATAACAATTACTGCACCTTACTCACGAGTCACAAAAGAATGTCCTACATGCAAGAAAATATAAAATCTTAAAAAGCCACCAACCGTTTGTGGAACTTCCTACACATTAAAAGAAAATAACCTCACCTTTGGGGGAGGAGGAGGTGGTGGTGGGGATACACTGTTGGAGCAGACATTCTCTCCTCAGCAGATTGGTACCACCATTCCATCATCTGACATTCACATCAATAATGAAAAGTCATGGATTTTATTCGCCATCTTGTGTGGAAATCTGTGTGTCTTTGAGAGAGAGAGAAAGAGAGACAGGGCAATAATGGAAAAGAAAATACAGCTAATAAGGCGCATGATTCAACATAATCAAGTCTGAAACCAACAGAGTTTTTAATATAATGAAAAACGACCCCAATGAAGGGGACTTTAAAATAAATAAAGAAGAATATGAAACCAACAGAAAAATCAAATGAACCAATGATGATAAGACAATGACATGAAGATAAAAAAGAATCAAATAAAGTTGCTAATGCAGGATTTGACATAATCTCGGTGAAGTGCACTTACTTTAAAGAAAAATACTGCAGCAATTAAACCAGTTTGTGCATAGTCAAGAACTGCATACATACTGCTTAGAAGTGCACCTTGCACTGCCTGAAATGCAAATAGCCAAGTTATTGATCATAGAACCTTCAAAATAGTCATTGAATTTATAGTTTCAAAAAGATGACAACCATAGAATCTTAGAGCCAAATTTGTTGAGGTTCAGAAATATGATAGATAACATGATAGGCATCTACATGCACAATGCTTGAATAACATGGTAACTGCTCCACATAATCTCAGACTATTAACAATATTCAAAGTATCAGCATAAAACCATTAAGAAATATGGAATCACATACCTTCAGCCAAGGGGGGCCACGGAGTCTCTCACGTTCGCGGCTCCTGATTTTAGAAATTCTTGAAGATGTATCCATCTACCTTGTCAAAAGAAAGTGCCCATGCTCAAAGAAATGAAAGGAAATAAGTAGAAACATAACTGAAATCAGTCCATCATAAATGCACTGCTAGGTCCTAAAAAAAGGTTTAAAGATGGCTCAACTGATTCAACTAACATCTACAAGTATGTCGAAGAGTGGTTTGATTGAATAAATAAACACTTTCTCCATTTTAAATACAAATTTTCTTACTTGATCTTTTCCTCAAACTACCAGCTTTGTGGAGATAAATATAAGATTATATGAAAATGCACCTAGTCAAGTGTCTGATAGTTAAAGAACACATAGAAAAAAAATTTAAAGTAAGCAACATTCATGGTTTGGAGATATGCATGAATTTCCATGCAAGATCCTATATAAGTATAGATTACCAAGTTGTAAACTGATTTAGATAGCAAAGTTAGTCCACAGACAAGAAGGATGACAATAGATCTAATAGATCAGTACACATGATACATATCTAGAATAAGTACCAGCTCCTGCCCTGTAGCTCGACAAACATGAATCCCTAAACGTGTAATCCTAAAGAGTAGAACCAGTAGCATCTAGTAGATACAAAAGCTGATAAGCAAAAGACAATCCTGCAAAGAAAAAACAGGTCAATTAAGGAAACTAAATTCATATCATTTGTCACAGCTTATGAAGATGGTCTTATGGAAATGGTCCAAAGAATAATTAAACTCCATCCAAAAGAAAAAAGTTCCCGCTCCTTACCAAGCACGCCTTTTGGTGCCATTTTCAGTAAAAACTATTAAATTCATCCAAGTGTAAAGTGAAAACATTTTACTTTGTGGATGCGGAGTGGGTGCATCCAATAATTAAACAAATTAACAAGCATGCATTGCCATGAGCTCAGATTCCTAAGTCTAGCGTAGCAAGGTTTGGAAAGAGCAAGACATAGATTGGCATAAGCACACAGATAGAACATGAAGAAGGCGACAGCATTAAATCCAAGTGAAGCTTAAGCAAATCTAGAATAAGGAGGAAAAGCCAGTGAATTTCAACCCCAAACTACACATAAATGAGACTAGCATTAACCTTCACTTCCAGCGTGTATCCACGGTAGCAAGCAGCTATAATCTTCTGTATTCTCTTCATGACGCGTCTTCGTGGTAGATGCTTCTTCACCAGAACTGCTCCAGAAGCTGAGGAATTTCCACTTCCATCAAAGTAGTCTATGTTGCCAAATCTTTCCTCACCCTCACCCCATAAGCTCGCTTGAAGTGTAGCTTCCCTTTCTCTATTGTATACATACTGCAATTTGGACGCTAAAATACGGCAACACAACCTACACAACGTTTATTAACCTCACTCAGAACACAGTAAACAAACTCTACTAAAAATAAAAAAAGCCAGAAGCTTGCTTGAGTGTCAAAAGGAAGGATCTTTGACAACAGAAACATATCCAGCATTAAAAAACGACCAATCGAGAGTAATGAGAAAACGATAAAAAAAAGGACTTATTTCAAATATTATGAATCGTCGCATAGACAAAATTTCTCCATTATGCAAAACATGAAGTAACTGAATTTAAGGAGTACCAAAAGAAAACGAAACAATTACAAAAATACAACAGAGAGGATTTTCTGGCGTTTCTCTAAATTATGATGAATTGCGTCAGCAGGGGAATCCAATGGCAAAATCTTCTTCTTGCTGTGAATATTATCCTTTGTTTTTACTTTAATATTAACCGCTCTTCTTCTCAACCCATAAAGAGACTCGGCAAAAGAAGCATCGGTTGTTCTCAAGCTGTGGGTTTCCAAGACAAGCGTTAGCAAAGCGAAGAATTCATCCTCATAGTCCAGGATTTTGTGAATAAAGGGTCTTCTTAAAGCCAATACCTACAAAACAAAAAGCCCAGTTACTGAATTAAAAAAAAAAGAAGACAAAAAAAACAAGAATTTTGATGAAAATTGAAGAACCCAGATGGAGTTTGAACTTTGAGTACTTACGCCGAGAGAGTAAGTGAGAGCAGCACGAAGACTAGAAGGGAGCTGTTGGGCAGCGCCATTCGAAGAAGGTGGGACGAGTCCCTTGTCCTCCTACCTGACAACATCCCTCCTCTTTACTTTCTTTCTTTAACTCTTCCTCAACTTGCCTCCTCCTTCTTCTGGTTTTGCCCTGCTTGATTTTTCGCTTGGGTATGCCAGTAAGAGAAAAGTGCTGGCCCTCAACGGGTGAGAGGCTGGAGCACAGAAACGGGGAAACGGGGGATCCACTCTCGAGGCTTCAACCAAATTTTTGGCACGAGTATTGATCCCAAAAGCAGCATCTACTCGTAGTCTCGTATTAAACTTTCTGTACGGCCAAAAAAATTATTTATTTGCATTATAAACAAAATTTTCAATATACTTTTTTAATCATTATTTTTATCTCACATATATAATATTATAGTAATTATTTTAAATAATCTCTTATCCAAACTCAAGTCTGCATACACTGTCATAAAGAATCCCTTAAAATTTTGAAAACTGTATATATATTCCCTTAACTTTAGAATCAACTAAACAAAGTAAATTAATCCTTTCTCTTGTTTTCATTTTTTTGTATGTTAGCTTGGGTTAAAGATCCAATTCTACTTCTCTCGTTAATATCCAATTATATGTCATTTAAGTTTGAAACTTCTCACTTACACTTAAAAAAAAAAAAGTGTTATACAAAAATTCACAATTCAATAGCCGTTTAAAACTACAAAATATGAACTACCTTGAAAAAATAACTCTAATCCATCAATAAGTTTTAGAATGCCACATTGATCTTGCTAATACAAAACTAAAATTAAAAACTAATATAGCTGCATTTCATTAATCACCAATGTGGCATCAAATTTTCATATGTGTAAGTGATAGTGAAGTTGTATACATGAGTGAATACATTTCATCTCTTTTCTTGGAGGAGCAACTAAATTGGTGAGATTTCCTATCAAAATCAAGATTAGTGACATCTCTCATGACGACATTGAGAATGGACCTTTGTCACTATGTGCGACCAAAAAGGCCTAAGACAATGATCTCCGGCCCAAAAGTCATCAGCCCAACCAATCAGCATTCCAACTTCCCAGTCCTCCGTCTTCGAGTGTTCGCCGCCGGCTAGTAGCAACCATGGCCAACACAGTCCGCGTCGCTGCCGCTCAGATGACTTCGATCAACGACGTCGCCGCAAACTTCGCCACCTGCTCTCGCCTCGTTAGAGTACCTTCCTCCACTGACCATTTTTAGTGTTATTTTGCTTTACTTTTTAAATTATTTACTGTGCAACGAGTTGACTTTGAGGACTCTCCGTTGGTTCTGCAGCGAATGGAAAATTCAAAACACAATAAGAACTAGGATTTTTTTTCTCGCTTTGCTTTCCTTTCTCTCTCTCTCTCTCTCTCTCTCTCTCTTTTTTTTTTAAATTGGAAACGATGTGTACCTACTTTATTCCTAAATGTAATTTTTTAAACTAAATTCCTGCGAATGGTTGTATTACTGGGAATTTTCTTGATTGGACTATTATCTGATGGGTGTTGAATAGCTGCCTCTAAAAGTTGTATGTGCTGAATATAGGCTATAACGGAGGGATTTGTTATGACCAATGAACACGAAAGCACAAGAGGTCTTTATTTGAGGTATTTGGTTTGGATTCTAGTTTTGGAAAAGAAAAACACATAACATAAGAAAGAGCTTCAGCCCTGCTGTTTCCTTGACTTGGTGCTTGTGCATCCCCAACATAAACTAATACATAGTGGGATTTTTGGTGTGAAACGATTGTTAACTCTTAAATTGTATGCAGGGGATTATAATTGAAAGAAGAGTTGCAAAATAGATGAATCGTGGTTTAAGTTTGATCTTGCCACTTATGTGCTAGAGTGTGAAGTTATGGCTATGATCACACGTCGGACTAGTAATGAAGCTTGTTTGTAACTTTTACCACTGGGTAGTTGGCGAATTTCCATTTGGACTTGTTATTTACCAAGAAAGGAACGCTAAGAGGACAATTTGTATTTCAAATTCTAGATACCTATTGCCAATACCAGGAGAGAATGGCTGCTGATGCAGAGGGGCACATTTAAGATAATTGATGCTGCTGAATGTTTTGCGGCGATTACACATGTAGATTGCTTTTGCCACAGTTAGTGGTTCAAGCTCCATAGGAAAGTTTACCCACAGAAGTTACTGGCTGAAACTTACAATGTGCGGGATCTCATGTAAAAGGGGGAGAGGAAGTTATTAACTTCAAAGGGAAATTGTTGTCATTCTTTAATACCTTTGTTGATTTTTCTTCCGAAATATATTGTGAACTAAAAGGATATGGTTCTTTTCCATCATTTTTTGCTTTCAGAATATCCTTTTCTTCTCCCTTCACACTTCATGATCCAAACAGGAACTAAATATCTGTTGCAGTAGGTCATAAGCAACATAGAAGTTACACTATTGGGATTTTGTAGGTGTCATATTTTCAAACTAATAATTAAAGCTTAATTTTTGTAAGGAAGCAGCTTCAGCTGGGGCGAAATTGATTTGTTTTCCAGAAAATTTTTCATATGTTGGTGACCTAGCTGGAGACAGTTTGAAGGTTGCTCAACCATTAGATGGACCAATTATGAAGGAGTATTGTTCTCTTGCAAGGTAAGGCCAAGAACCCTTTTTCCTTTCACTTTTCTAGTCTTTTAGGAGAAAAAGAAAAAAAATTCTAAGGATATAAGGAAACATCAAGGGAGATCCTGCTCTCCACCCTTTGAAGTAATAGTAATTTATTCTAAACGGTCTTGATTGGTTAAAACTTCCACTTTTTGGTTATTTCTCAACCCATTCAATTGGTTGTTCAAGTGAATTTTTTTTTCTTGTTATTTGGTATTATGAGCTTCCGAACTATGAAGCTAAAATTTTACTGTCTTTGTGAAGGGATTCAAATATGTGGCTGTCTCTTGGAGGATTCCAAGAAAAAGGACCTGATGATGCACATCTATGCAATGCTCATGTTTTAATTGATGATGCTGGGACTATCAGAAGTGTATTCCGGAAGATGCACCTGTAAGATCTTTGACACTATTTTTCCCCTGGTCTTACTGTTCTATTTGGGTACAACTAAATCACCAGATACTCTCATTTATGTCGATGGTATCTCAAAGACACGAGTTTATGCCAATGATATCTCAATTATCCTGTAAATTTCTTAGATCGAATATCTGAATAAGTTGTTGAACATTTGAAGATTTGACGTGGATGTCCCTGGAAGTGCAGTTTACAAGGAGAGCTGCTTTACAGAAGCTGGTATGAAATATAGCTTTATTTGTTCATAGCCATGCTATTTTCTCTATATGGTATTCCAAGAGATGGATATCTATATAGGTGCATATGTGTCTGTCTACCTGGATAACTTGTTGGCGTATATTTTATGGTCGGTGCAATTGTTCCAGATCAAACCAAATGATTATCTTGAAATTTTGTTTTTGAAGATGGATTTAAGGTATCAACTAATCAGTGAATTCAGAACCTAGCTAGGTAGATCCACAATTACCAAGTGGGTGCCAAGAATTCCAAATTACAGTACTTAATTTAGTTCATTTTCCTTCCAATAGTTGTTGCACCCCATCTCGCTCTCTCTCTCTAAAAACTGATGAGCTTTTACAGGGAAGGAGATTGTTACAGTAGATAGCCCCTTTGGACATTTAGGTCTGACAGTGTGTTATGATTTGAGATTTCCGGAGCTTTATCAGCAGTTGAGGTTCCACCATAATGCACAGGTAAAAATTCATTTTATGCACGTGGGAATAGTAGTTGTATCCTTATACAGTGATTTGCACTTTTCCCTTTGGCAGGTCTTACTGGTACCTGCTGCTTTTACAAAACCAACAGGTCAAGCACACTGGGAGATTCTTCTTCGTGCTCGTGCAATTGAAACTCAATGTTATGTATGAATGTTCTTCATCTCCTCTAACATTTTGGTTTTCTACTATTAGTTTACTGCCAAAGGTTTTTTTTTTTAATTTATTTTTATTTTAAGCACCATCTGTAATAGTTGATTGAACAACACTTCAGCTTGTAGTGTTTTGTTATATGCAAGTTTTATGATTTTATCGTTTTCTTAGAATTGAATAGCGAAAAACAATCTGCATTGATTTTCTTTGCGTTCATACCTCTTCAAGATAAGCCTGAAAGAGTCTAGATGTTCTCCTCTCATGGTTACTGCATATTGACATGTGCAATCTAATAAACGTCTGCCTGAAATTTTCAGCTACATGAAGTTGTTCTTTGGAAAGACATTGCATGTTTTAGTTGCTATTGATATTTACCGAAATATGTATTTTAATATGTGTGTCTAATTTTGTATTAAAACATTAGTTAATTGCAATAACTGCATGGAGGAGGGTCAACTCCAATGGATGTACAGTTATTAGTTTCTTTGAAAATCCCATGAATCCATCTTTTGACAACAGGACAAAATGCCAGGCAATGATCTTCAAAACTATGTTTGTGAATGGTAGCTCCTACACAGACAATATGGTACCTGTGTCATAGCATTTTTGACAAGAATATTCACCCTGGATGGCATATGTTATACATCTGAGACGTTCAATTTCTGGAGTTCTCTTTTATACTGGGTTTTTAACATACGTTTTATCTGATGGTATAAGCTCTCTTTCCTGATTTATGCCACTGTTTCACAGTCATAAACATCTTACAGGTCATAGCTGCTGCGCAAGCTGGAAAGCATAATGACAAAAGAGAAAGCTATGGTGACACCTTGATAATTGATCCATGGGGAACAATAGTTGGGGGGCGGTTGCCGGGTCTGAAATATTTTCTTCCCCTATTCAATTTCTTTGGTTTTAACTTCTTTCCCTCTGTATGGTCCTTAGTTGACTTGTTTGATTTGGATATAGGCTCACTCTGAAACAGGCAGATGGAAAGCACGATTATGTATTTTCTCTTTCTTTTTTTCCCCTCTGCTTATTTTTTTGTTCCCCTCCGGAAAGAAGGGTGTTGTGTGTGTGTGTGGTGTGGTGGGGGGGGGGGAAGGTTTGATCATATAGGGAATGAATGTACCTATCCATTGACCGTCTCCTTTTCACAGCTGGACTTGCATGGTAGATGCTGCGTCACTACTTGATAGGTTAGATTTATGGCAGTAACCTGATCAGAGGGGGGCTTAGAAATTTGACCACTACCTCTCTCTCCAAGGAAGTTGCTAGTCTTGTGCCTTTAAATTAATTTATTCATGGTCAATATGTTCCAAGGGAAAGCTAGATCAGAGCTCCAAAACAACATATAAATTCTCTCAATTCATTTGAGGGAGCTTTGTATGGTCAAATCACTTGTATGAGAAATAGTATTTTGCGATCGTATTAGCTGAAAGCTTCTTGCAAGAGACAATTTCAAACTTAATGACCATATTATACTGTTCAAATGCTGTTCCAGATCGTTTGTCAACTGGCATTGCTGTTGCAGATATTGACTTCTCTTTCATTGATTCAGTTAGAGCAAAAATGCCCATATGCCAGGTAACTGGAAGTTGTTTACTATGCTTTATTACTACACAAATTCATTCTTCTCCCCTCCCCCAAAAACACCCCAATGGAAAGCCAAAAAATGGTTTTATTGATTTAAATATGTTGAATTTGCATTCCCGAATAGCAAAAACATCGTCTTACTTAGCATTTCTCATTTGACGTAACCACATATTCTTCCTCATGACCTAGTTGCATTGTAATCCTTTCAGCATCGGAAGCCCATTGAGTTCTGGAAATCTGCCTCTCTGTAGGTGAGACGCAACCGTTCTAAGCATACACTGAACTTGCACAGGCTTTGGTCCATTTGTAATGCTCGTAACGGGATGCAATTGTGCAACTGCATTGTTAGGAAGTTCATGAAGCCTTCTCCGATTCATTGTCTTTCTGCTTGTTTACTGTTACCACAACCTTTGTACCATCTGTGATCATAATGGTCTCTCTCTCTCTCTTCTCTCTCTCTGTGCATGCGTGCATAGACATCCACTCGGCATGCGCAGCACTGCAGTCTTGTATTAGGAGGAGAGATAGCAGGAGGGAGAAATCCGGAACTTGTTATTTTGTACTTAAAAAAGCAAACTTGTTAGAGGTCCAATGCTTTGATTTACTCGTTACTATTTTGGATAGAGCGCAAATGTAACCATTTCATGAGTTGAGGTCATTTATGGCCTTTTTTTAAAATTATTTAGTCCAAAAGTAAAATTAAGTCCATGAACGTGAAATGCTTATTACATGCGGGGCAGTTCGATTCATGTCTTTCATTTCAAAGGGATACTCGATGGGCTTATTCCATATATCAGAGGGAACAATTTTATTTTTTCCCCTACTACAATTACATTGAAGCTCGCCAAAACACTCTCTTTTGTCATTTGTCAGCCGGCCTTGTGTGCGATTTTCCTGATATGCAACCCGGGGAAGGAATATCTATTTTAGTCGAACAAAAGAATAAAGCCAATAGCCGCGGCCCATCAATTCGTTGTTCAAAATTGAAAGGCATAAAGCAATTGCAGAAATGCTGCTTGCAATCGGGGAACTCAAGGTTGAGACCGATTTGTTTGATCAGGCTCTCTCAACCTACGGGGATGTGAGATTATTGGTACTAAAAGCCAAGGTTTTTGTTATAAAACTACATGAATTAAAGTCTTTTGACGTGAGATTTTTATACGTCATCATTTTATTATCCTCTTTTTCATTATAATATCTCTCACTATAGATTCCATCGTATCGAATATAATAGTATGAACTCACGATCAAATCACATATTTATTTTAATAACTAGGAGGGACAGCCGCGCGACGCCGGGAATTTGGTGCTTGTGATTCAAGATAATTAATAATTATTGTTTAATATTTTATAGTATGGGAACTGAAGTATGATGATTTTATCTTGTGATTTTAATAGAAAAATTATAAGTTACATAGTGAGTCAATAAAAATAATGTGCAGTAAAACATCCTTATCGTCTATACTATATAAGAATCCGTTGTGATCAAAGGTTATGTTTGAATTTCAACTGCAAAGATAAGGGTAGTTTGAAAATGTAAAATGTTTGAAGTGCAATTGAAAAATATTCAAAGGTCTCTTCTAAAACTTATCCAAGATGATAAAACATTTTAAAGTATCAATTGGACCCTTCATCTCTCGAATCTATATATATTCGTGAAAGATCCCTCAAGTAATGTTTTTTGATTTCTCCCTCGACTTAAGCTCAACCTGATTATCAAATCAAGTTTATCTATCAATCACATTGCGTCCAATCTAATCTAAATAATTTTATTTTTTACTAACTATTTATATAATTTGGTGGGTATAATACGACTTAATCACATGTTCTTACAGAGATAATAATGCCCAAAAATGATAGATAGATAAGAAACTTAAGTGATCGTTTTCAAAGTTTTGTAGAAACTATTCAGATTTGGAGTTTTTTGCTAGGGGCATTTCTTTATAATCTCATAAATAAGTTCAAATATGTATAATTGTTAAAGATTTAAATTGAAACTATCTTGATTATAAAAATTGGTGCAAATAATATTTTCTAAATTTGAAATTGTAGAAAATGGTAAGTAAAATCAGAAGAAATTCCTTATATGAATTCGAATTGCAAACTATAGGTAGAAACTGCTTAATGATATTTTCCAATGTTTACTTGTATAAGTATCCAATAAAATATCTCTACTTAATTGACTCGTTTGAACTATGGATAATAGTTGCATCAATCAAATCAAGAAACATTATTTATCATTGTACAACATACAATTATGAGTAAATGAATTAATACAATGCAATCAAAATGGTGTTGTAGCTAAAACATTTAAACTCATCAAGTTCCACTACAAATTCTTTTATATAGTATAAAAAAACAAATTTTTTGTATTTGAAACTATATAAACAATATATCAAGAACGAGATCATAACATAGAGGCAAACTATATGGAATTCTTATATAACAATCATCAGAAAAAAAAAAAAACTACAATCGAAGAAAACAAATCTAAAGAACTCACCTCAATTTAAAGGAAAAACTATGTATTCCATCAAATATTTAATATCCATAATAAAATTAAAGAGGTGAAACCGAAAAAGAAAAAAGGATATCGGCTAAACATGGAGACATAAATATGATAATGATTGTTCAGATAATAATTAAGTTAATTAATTGTAATTATAATCCTGTTATGTAAACATCCAATTAATTCCTTAATGGATGAGAAAGGTTTTAGGAAATTGGAAGGCTTGGATGTTAGTATAATAAATGATTAAAAGGACTTTTATGTAATTCTATCAAAATACAAGCTTTATTCAATTGTACTTGATACTCAACTTGACACCAAACATTGTAACATACCAAACCTGCCCCTAACCTTAAATGTTTAAAAGGTTATATAAGTAATTATAGTGAAATTAAAGCTATAATGACTTATACTCAATGTTCCAATTACTCTTTAAACACTCTCATATTCCCAAAATAGCCTCACCCCTGCGGTTGAAATCTAGTCCTAAACTCGTTCTATCAAAATACAAGATTTATTCAATTGTACTTGATACTCAATTTGGCACCAAACATTGTAACATACCAAACCTGCCCCTAACCTTAAATGTCTGAAAGGTTATATAAGTAATTATAGTGAAATTAAAGTTATAATGACTTGTACTCAATGTTCCAATTATTTTTCAAACACTCTCACATTCCCAAAATAGCCTCACCCCTGCGGTTGAAATCTAATCCCAAAGTCGTTCTATATATAAATTGTACTTGATACTCAACTTGGCACCAAACATTGTAACATACCAAACCTGTCCTTAACTTTAAATGTCTGAAAGGTTATATAAGTAATTATAGTGAAATTAAAGTTATAATGACTTGTACTCAATGTTCCAATTATTTTTCAAGCCACTCTCACATTCCCAAAATAGCCTCACCCCTGCGGTTGAAATCTAATCCCAAAGTCGTTCTTATATAGTATAAGGATACACAGTATATATCCCATAAAATTTAAAGCATTGAAATTGTCAAATGAGACCTACAACCAGTCTATTTATTATGTGTGTAACGGCCATGACCCATGAAACGCATCATGACTATTACTCTTCCACTGTACTCGCACTTCTACTATACTCCTACTTCACTTTGGAGATTGGGGAGGGAGTAATAAAGGGTATTACACCCCATTGTGTTTGCTTGGGTGCTTTAATGCATTGATGGAAAGATATGCATTTTAAGGCATATCTTTAACGCATTAATGGGTGCGTTAATGCATTGATGCATTTAATGCTTGGGTGCTATAGCATTTTAACGTTGTAGTAATTGATTTGCATTGATGGAAACATATGCCAGTACGCGTGCCTGTTTGAAGTCGGTTTTAGGATTCGTAAGCTTTGTGATTGCCTATCTTGTATGGCTACTTGTAAGAATTAGCCCATGCTAGATCCATCCAAGACAAGTTCTGTCCTTAGAAAGTTTCAATTAAAAGGGGAAAAAAAAAGTTCTGTTCTTGGACTGTAAATCGTCGTTTAACATGTACTACTTGGTACTAATACGTCTACAATTGTAACTACATGTGATTTTACAAGGCCAGAGAAAAGAGGTAATTGGTGGATTAGGCATATTATCCATCCCCTTATCCCCTGGGTTTGAAGATTTTGCTGCAAGCTGGGGAGCGGTTGCTCCTGTTGGAAAGTTGGAAACCTCCCTACTGGCCCTGTGGCCTGTTTTTATTTGCCAACCATGAGAACCTGAAGGGTCCGGTTGCTTCGCAAACACACCCGTATATTTGTATGATCACTATCAGATTAACAACGTTGAAAGGCTATTTTGTCAGCAAATTCTTTCACCTCACTGATAAGATTATATGTCCCGTTGGAAGACCATTTCTGGAGGAAAACCTCGCAACATTATTGTGTTTGTGTTTTGCTTACGGGAGGTTCAGGTGCTTTTATAGGCATCACCAGCTAATGAAAGGGAAAAAAAAAGGAAATCTCAGAGGAAATCTTGAATGCATCTAGCCACAGAGAAATGCTATTCTTCGCTGCAATGAACAATTTCATGTAAGAATATTACAAGCAATTCACTCACTCTGCCTCATTTAACAACAGCTGCTGCTACCATTCCTCTCTGCCTATCTTTTAGAGCATCACAACCATAGATGTGACAAAACCACAACTAACTGGTGGATGCATTTACTTTTGATTTCACCCACTTGCGAAACAAGACAGCCAATGATACAACATTTTGCTGTGCCATATAGGATAACCTAAAAGTAAATCCCAGAGCACGAATGGTCTCCTGAGGGATACTGCCAACTATAAACTTCTCGAACTCGTTTCTCTGGTCATCATAAGAATATATTGGTATGAAATCATCACAATGCTTCCAAATATGCATATCTGTCAGCAATATCTGGCCTGTGGGGAGGTTGCCAACAAGTTGTGCACAAAATCTACCTGCACCTCGAAACTCAGGGGGTGTTGGGATGGCATGCCTATCCCAGGAACTAGAACCACGATCATCGCAATTTTCCAGTGTATAAATGGAAAAACATTCAGCTTCTGCATTTTTCCAGAAACCATAAACTAACAGAGCCAGCCGTCCCCTGAATTTCGTCGGTATCCACCAGCTTTGCCTGGACGAAAATATGGGGTGCTTGGGGGGTTCAATGAATTGGAACTTCTCCGTCTTCAGATCAAAAGAAATCAGCCCCAGCCGCTCGACCAGGCCATGCATCACCCAGTAAAGGACTCCATTACACAAGAAGCTGTCAGCCGGTAATCTTTCAGAAGACCCATCAAGCCCAATAGCCAGCTTTCTCCAAGAAGAATCGCGGCCGAGCGTCAGAATGTGGGCTTCCTGCTTAGAATTAGACTTGCTTATCTTGAGCAACTTGTAGACTTCATTGCCAGGATGGTACCCAAAGTAATAATCTTCATAAGCGGAATTGCGGAACCCACTAATTTCTGGAAGCCACACGATTTCCCGAGTACCGACACTGCAGACCATGGCACCGATACTCCCATAAGCACAAACAAGCCCATTCACCACTTTAGTGACACCCTTGAACAAATCAAAAGACGGGATTTTAACCAAACTAAGAAATGGTTGCGGACATTGAACCTGATCCTGA